CATCGAAAGAAAAAACTTAAAAATGGAACGATCTGATTGAAGTGTTTGTCTTTGCAGCACTGAATAAATGTTCTTGTCAGGGTTCGTTAACACGTTCCAGTTATTTCCGTGGAAAGGTGATCATTTGCTCAATTGTCCAGAATTAAGACGATTTATTGTAGTTGAAAAGTGGCGACCATCTCAGACGCACCAATATTTGTGTAACTGATGAAAAGTCTCCGTTTGAAAACGCGACAAGGAAATACAACTTTAAAGGTTAACCAGCAAACAAAATTATCGGTCCGATTACGAGCTCTAACTGCATGATTTTTACTCGATATAAATATCACTGAACTTAAAGGACTTTAATTTTCAGCGAATAGCTCGAACTGAACCTGGAAATGGATGCTCGTGAATTATTTCTACTACTGTCGCTGTCTCTAACTGTTACTAGTCTGCAAGGTGATCTAAGCTTCAACGGCAAAGGATTTCAGGTTTTTCACACAAACTCTGCTGAAGAGCATGTGGAGAGGTACGAAGTTGAGATGTGGTTTCGAACAACAAAACATTCTGAAATGGTGTTGCTGATGATTCAAAATGGCGTCAGTCCGCAAACGTTGGTTGAGTTGCAAGACGGAAAGTTACGGTAAGTTTTCAAGAGACTCCTGTTGAAATTTCTTTACTAGTTTTTGAACAAGATAAAAAGTCAAACTATAATCTTACAGACAAATGCAACTGGCAAAAATTCAAATGAAACTTTCACCCACGAATGGCAGGTTAGAGTTTGAGGTCTGTATTCGTTTGTCAGTTAATCATTGCTTTTGCTATCCAATACGTAATTATAGGCTGATTTTGTTGGCTCTGTCAATAACGAATGTTGTATTCCCCGGTCACGTTTTCAAACGAACTCCTTTTGGAGTTCAGTGAATGCCTATGAATTATCTGGCACTTTTTTTTTTTTTAACTTCACTCTGTTGTTTTGCTTCTGCCATTTGTAATCTCGCGAAAGTAGCGCCCAAGTATATCCCGAACAGATGACATAAAATGCTTCATTTTCACTGATTTACACCTCTTTAATGTTTCACACTTCTGAGAAACGCCTTGCTTGAGGTATTTTACTCGGCGAAAAATGGATCTGGCGCCAAACGGGGTTAACATTACCATCAACCTACTGCTTTCAAAAGGTCTAATTAAAAGTTTTTTTTTTCCTGAAACAGAGTTTTGCATTTCACTCTAACGAAAAGTTTGCTACTTTTTTCTCAAATTCCTACTGATTTTGTGAAAACGGGAAACCTTACGCCAAATGCAGCAAGCTAGCGCACTTAACCACGAGGCGGGAACTTGCACCTCACAGCGTAGATTCAGTGAAAAATCACTCATGTCAGTTGCTGCTTACCCTGTAGTTCTCTTGTTCTAGAGATGCTCGGACATAAATTATATTAAACTTCAAGGAACTCACTGCACACGGCAATGGCCACTTAAAAACAAGGCAACATTCAAGATAGTGCGAGTAGTACTGGTAAAATCTTTGGCCATCTTTAAGTGTCATTGGTCGTATACGAAGATCATAAGTATTCAATGACTAGCGAGGCAGATGCGCTTTCGATTAATAACATCTGAGCATCCCAACAAGTCAGTTTAGGTTTTATCATTTTACACTCTTCAGAATACACTAAATAATATTTCAAATGAAAGAAAGGTAGGTCAGGAATAGTTGGCGTCAGAATTGACGTGGCATAAACAAAGAGGTGTTTACCCCTTGAAATAGGTGTGTAGCCCTGTTTCAGATGTGACCAAACGGGCCACCAGTACAAAAAAGAGGAATTCATTTAAGTGAAGGTATTGGGAAATGCAGCCATATTGACACTAGATCGGTTCCTTTTCTTTTAGTGGAATGACAAATTACTTCAGTTCTACTCGCAATATGACTCTATCAAAAAAGATTAGAATAAGCCTTTCAAATTTCTGCCTTTTTTTGCATATCTTATGCCTTCGTGTGATTTATTTCAAGCGTAGAATTGCTGTGATATGTGATATTCTGCTCTCAATTTCACAAGACTTTTCTGGCACTTTTCGATTGAATGTCGTAACACCAATACCAGAGTAATTACAAGGGCCAATCGGAGGAAAGGAGGACTTAACATGGAGCCAATCAGAACTTAAGATATTTTGGTAACTGACTGATTGATTATGAGAGGATAGTGCGAGATTTAACTCCAACACCCTAACATCAGCATTCTCCATACTATTCCTTCTACATTTGCTATGGCACTGACAAGGATAATTTCGTTAAAAAATGAAGATCTTTTCAAGTTTGCGATTATTTTCTTCATCCTCATGAGCCTAATGTTTGATTCAGCAGTGATACCTTAATGAAAAATTAAAGCCAGAGTTAAGGACTAGTCATATTGCGCAGTAAATACAGACAATAGCAGTCTCGAACCACTCATTCCCCTCCAATCTATTATTTTAACGAGTTAGGGAAACCTGATCTCGATAGCGGCTACTTTTCACTCTGCTGTTAAAATCATGAGGGGAAGCCTCGCCACAAGGCAAAGCCGCCGTTCAGGAGTAATTTAAAAGTCTATGAACAGCTATGACGATGGATGAGGTCGTTCTATGATATCTAAAGCCAGCATGTGGTGTCACTATAGAGTATTGTGAAAACGAAAAATACTGATAAAATTGCATTTTGATTAAAAAAAAGTATTCATGCTATCATACCTCAACATGCAATTTATCATAAACAATATTACTTTTCACAGGCGAGACTTCGAAGTGACATGGAAAGATTTTCCAAATTCTAATGTTACGTGCGCGTTGGCTGCACTTACGCTTTCACGCTTCCCCTAAATTTCAGCTGTACAACGATTGTAACCAGTAAGGGTACGGGTAATAATAAAATTATGCGGAAAACGTGATGGAAATTGATACGAGACAGGTCTTCATTTATCGAAACTCTTAGAGGTGCGATTAAATCGATTAAACGCGTGCGCATGCGTGAGTTCTTAGGTGGTTGATCGATGGGTGATCGACCGAGGTTGCCACAATTTCTTGTTTTTTTTATGTAGAAAAAAATTGTTTTTTGCGATCAAGCAGCATTTTTTTCAGATTAATCTTCAGGCAAAGGGGTATCTGTTTGAAAAAGAAATAGCAATTGAATTCGAGAAATTGGCAAGGGAGAGAGTTCCCATATTGAAGGCGTAATTGGCCATATAGAATCCTCTTTTTACATTTGTCTATTTAGCTTTGCGCAGTGGCATCACCGTAGTCAGTGAGGTTCATCCGAGGCGCGGTTATTGCTGATTGAAAACTTTTCCCAATACCCCGCAAGATGGCTTGAAATACAGCCGGCTTTGCAATTTTTAACGGTCCATACGGACCTTACGTACTCCAAAAAAAATTTTATACAAGAAAAAATTTAATTGAACCAACGCAACTGCTAACCGCCGAAAAATTACAACAATTCGTCTGTTCCTGACGATAGTAGCTGGAAATTTTTTGCGGTAAAGGAGCCCGATCAGCCATAACCTGTGTCTGCTTGGCGCTGTGTAAAACTGCCGTAGGCGCCACAAGGTTATTTTACCGAAACAACACGGACAATTTTCATCTATGACGCGCGCGTTCTTGTGATGGCATCTCGAGGAAGCGTTTTAAAATTTTTGTAAAAGGATTAACATTTTATCGGCCTAATAGCTTTTCGGTTTCGAAGATTTTTGTTGACCGTAGGAATTAGTAATCGCGGATGATTTATGCAGACGTGTTTTTACAATGCCGCAGGTATTCTGATGCATATCAAATGAGCTGATAATGCTTTGTCGGAGATAACAGAACTAGAATTCTTTCTTGTTCAAAACCAACTCTACCACTTTCATTAGAAATTCTAGTGTTTTGCCCCAGCTAGCACTCCTACATTAGGATCGATCAATTCAGTACAAACCACGGCATGCAAAACTTCCATGGTTTCGTTTTCTTACCCGACTGACTTCGAAAATGAGTGCTTTGGTCTGTTACTTATCAAAAGCTTCTTTACTGTTCATGATTAAAAACCTGACTCTGATATCATTTGGATTACATGTGAAAATAGCGATGTGAACGGTGAGGAGCGCACGGCAAAAGCTTCATGCTAAAAATATTTTGATCAAAGTTTTTTTATTTTAATCCACACTCATCATAGTTATGACATTCATTCGACTCTACCGCTTAAGTGCGATGAGCGCTTCTTCTTCGCGCACTTCGATTTAGGAAAGGATTCTTAACCCTTTAGAAAAATAAGAAATGCTTGAATTTCTTCGTAACTTCATAAAAAAACTGCTTCCTTTCCTTTGCCCCCCCGCGAATACTGAAATTAAAATAGAGTTGCTGAAACAATCATTTTTCAAACACCCACGCAATAGTTCGAGCGTTTTCGTATGCCATGCTGAAACTGACAGGATCATGTTTTGGTTTCTCAGCGAAGGAGAATCTAGACGTAACATTTTATCACAAGCTGAGTGCTGCTGGTTATGCAAATGATTCATAAAAATTTAAAACTTTGTTGAATTTGCATAACATTGAAAGAGTTCTTTGACTCTTTATTGAGACGCGGTTAACCGTGAACAAAACAACAGAAAGGAAATTTTCATTCTTCTTCGCTGTGTGTTGGCTGAAGTTTCTTGGTGGAAAGCTCGTTTAAGTTTCTTCGGCATTAAAGGCCTACATATTTCCACACATTACAGATTTTTGAAAGAAGAGAAAAAAAAAAAAGCAATTTCAAAGTTTACGCTCTCTCAGACAGCGGCTGCGATGCTGAAAGCTTGGGGTCTTTTCTTGTCGTGATTAACATAACACAAGCAAGGAAAGTCAGGTTTTCTTGTGTGACTTGCTCTCTTCAACAGACACGTGCCATGCTTGAGCGATGTCGCTTTTTAACCCATTCAAAAACATCAATTGATTACGGGTGCTGCTTTGAAATTGATTGTTCCCCTTCAATAAGCCACCGACAAAGTACTAGAAACAGGCATATAAGCAAAACTACAACGTGAAATAACTGAGAGAATTTTATTTTGTTATATGCATATCTGTATATTACATCCTCCGCTTATGTTACAAATATAATTTCATCATCTTATAAAATATACATATACACAGAGTGCTCTGCACCAATTTACATTAAATCAATTAATTTTTGAAGCACTTTGATTGAGCTTGATTTCAAGCTGAAATTCTTATTTGACATTATCTTCGCATAAGTAACAACATGATTTTAGTGATTTCCGCAGAACTGAAATAATGATTTTACATAATTTATTAAGAGCCTTAGGGGTTCAGATTAGAGAGGAAAAAAAACCCCCTTGGTTTTTTCCTTTGTCTCTGAGAATTTGACTATTTTTAAGGTTCAAATTTTAAATTTTAAATTCCACACAAAGTCGCCGTGGTTTGAATAGGCAGTTTCTGTCCAAGTTTCTTTATGTAAGATACAATGCTAAAGGTCTTCTTGACGACGCTGTAGTTGGTGGTACAGTTTTGGCGGTTCAGATTCCTGCTCTTTGCATTTTCTCTCAGTTGCTCAGCTAACTCAGTGAAAAGAGTCTCAATGTTGTCGTCCCATTTAGCGGACGTTTCAATGTACAATAAATCCTCGAATTCTGCGAGATTTGCCGCAGATCTTGAATTCACCATTCTTTTAGCGCCTTTCAAGTCTGTTTTGTTACCGACCAGTACCTTGACGGCGTTCTTCGTTGTGTAACGCTGAACATCCATCAACCACTGAGGTATGCTGGCGAACGAGCCACGATTTGTAAGGTCAAATATCATGATGACAGCATCGGCGTTTCGGTAGTAGCTCTGTGTTATTGAGCGGTGTTTTTCTTGTCCAGCAGTGTCCCAGCACTGAAGTTTCACTTTATCGCCATGAATGTTCAGAATCTTCGAGTCCACATCAACGCCAACAGTCGAAGAGATGTTCTCGGCGAAGTATCCCTTGGTAAATCTTCGAATCAAAGACGTTTTCCCAACGCCAACATCTCCGATCACTAAAATTTTGAACAAATATTTGAAATCATTTCGGGATGTGTCCTCCATAATTTTTCCTCTTTCTCCCTAAGCAGTTGTTTTCCTTTTTTTTTCTTCGTGACTTCAGAGATGCGCACAGCTCGGTTCCAGTGTGTATACTGAAAAGGAAGCGTAAGCGCTCGGATTTTATACCCGGCCTTGCCCAGCGGTATGTCAAAGCTTACAGGGTGTTCACTGTCGCGAGGTCATTGTTTCCGATTCAATGCACGTAATTTCCTCTAGGCACTCCTTTGGCACATTGCAAACGCATTATTATTCTAAATCAAAGATATACAAAGCTCTGTGGTGAGTCCCTCGAGGAATTATTTGTTTGCCAACAAAAATAGCTGGCGCGTGCCACACTCGATATTGCTCAAAACATATGTTTATTTCTTACACCTGCCTCGCGAGCCGTTCGCGTGCCATACGAAACAACACCGCATAACACGTGATCCATTACACGCTTTAGAGGGCACGTGTAGTTTAGGACGCCGGTTGGAGAGAGAAACTAATGAATCAAGCAAGCGTAAGAAAAATTTTCTATAGTTTTGATTTCGGTCAGGACGATGACTTTGAATTGTCCAGCTAACACATCGGAATATTCGTGGTTCAAGAAATGATATTTGGCCCAGATGACGCTTGCCTCACAGTTGGAAAAGTCGTGGATCACTCTTAGGAGCGAGACAAAGGCCTTTAAGAGTCTAAAACGACGCTATGCTTCGCCCTTTCATCCTCTCGCAGGGAGGCAACTAATTTAACCATGCGGTAACTGATCGTTATTCATAATACGAACGCGAATGATTTCCTTAAGTTGCAAAGCGATGTTTTCAACGCTCCACTTTTCCTCGCTTCTTTTATTTCAACCGTTGTAACTTCTGTAACAAAAGGTTTATAAATCTTTAAATCACCAAGAATAAGGCACCTGGAGGACTTCAATAAAACCATTTCACGAACAAAGGCTAGGATTGTGCTAAAAAATACGCTTTGTTCGATACCAAAACTAATTTGTTAATGTGACTGATTATGCATGCGTATAATTTGTTGACTTGAAAGGAAGTTTAAAGTCGTTTTATAAATTTCAATTTTAATCATAAATTCACGCCACGTGCCACCTTAGTTTTCTTAGTTTCTTAATCAAGGTTTTAAAGCTACGAATTCGTAATTTTTAATACGGAAAACCAAACATTGTTCTTTCTTGTTTTGTTCCATAAATACCCTTTGTTTGAGTCTATCGAACGTTTCTTTTTTTTGGTTCTTTTTCTCAGGGTAAACTCTTCTGTAACCTGAAATGCGACTTTTTCACAACATCAAGATTCTAAATCTATGAATAAGCTTAAACCTCCTTTCCCCTACTCGCTACATAAATTTTCTGGTTCATTTCGCGATTAAAACAAATCCCTCATCACCGCAGCTGAATCAACCCGTAGCCGAAATTTACAGCAGACATAATAATTTTTTGTCTCTCTGCAGAAACTTTCACCTACTTGCGAATTGCGAAGAGCTTATAGCCTTTGTTATTCATTGAACCGCGGGTTTATTCACTAAAATTCTCTTGTTATGATAGACTTATCATCAAATTGCACCAAACTGTCGGCTTTGAAAGCGCTTTCCACACGTGGCTGTGTTTGCTTTTAGAGAATCACAATGTCTATCATTGAAAGATCCTGTGTTCTCACCAAATGCTGTTTACTGTCAATGATAACTCTTTTCATCATTTATAAAGAAAGAAACGCGTGTCGGTCGAGTGTTCAAAGCTGTTATCGCTCTGTTTTATGTACCTTGCCTTAGGGTACAAAAATGCTTCATGAATCATTATAGGTCAACCCTTTTGTCCGATATTGATTGAGCATGGCCCCAGATAGGAAGCGAACGGATGGAACACCGTGTGAGCGTCGAGAAAATTCGTTTGTTTGTTCTTAAAAATTTCAGTTCATTTCCTGCTCAGTAGATTGTTATGTAAATATTTCTATCACTTTCATCTACTTGCATTTAAGAAAGATTTGGACACAAAAAAAATTCCGAAATGGACGGCAACCAAATATTAACTCGCGAACTGAGAAACCAAAACTTGAAAAAAAAATTGTTTTGATGATGTATAGCCGCAGTCAGTTAAGTTTCGTTCCTTTCTCTCTTTTTTTTTTTTTTTTTTTTTTTTTGTCTTTTTGTCTTTTTTCATGAAAACTTAGCTCAGATTTTTTTTAAAAACACATTTTTGAAAACCTGAATGCAAAGTCAAATCCACCTAGGGATATGCATGACTAGTGTTACGTGTACTTCCGTCACGCTTTTGATGTCACTCAACATTGCGCAAGTGTCCTGAGAAGTGATATGGGTCGATCTCGATTGTTCTATTAGAGAGACAGATAGATACATAACCTTTATTAATACACGATAATATCTTAAGCTACAAGCTTGTGTGGTCGTGTGAAGAAAAAAGGAAAATCATACGTTTTGTAAATATAACTTGAATTTGAAAATAGAAAGTGATAGTTGTTGTAACTTCTAAGTAAAAAAAAGATCGGTATGTATAAGGCAAGCAGTAGAAGCGGAAAGTAGGTCAGATTTGAATTCCTCAAAGTGGTGAGTAGGCATTTTTTCAGATTATTGATACTCGAGCGTCCGACTGCTTGTTCACAGTAGCAAACAGTGTTCCATAACACAGTGCCGCGATATTCAGCGAGTCTTTCATGTATCCTGTTTGGAACCTGGATATTGTTAAAAGGTTGAGTCCCTTCAGAGAGTAACCATCTGAGCGACATTTAAAGATGTTTTCAGACAGTGAGTCGGGGAGAGTGGCATTATAGCCTTGTAAAAAAGCTCGAAAATGTCAAATTTATAATGCAAAAAAAAGTGTAGGCCACTAGTCGTATCTAAGCACGTCCGATGATGTCATATTCATTTTAAAACCAAACATGGACAGCTAAAACAATGTTTAAGTAATAATCTTCTTCCGTTTTGGATCGATTACTCGTATGTTTTGAAGGGGAATTTTTCTGGAGGAGGAAAGTTCCTGTTTAGTCAGTTACACCTTAGTGTGGGCGTTCATGGTGTGATCGACGCAAAAGAAACTAATTATGTTACAAGAGCTAAGAGAAATCAGCATCGGACTAATGCGGAAAAGTCATTTTCTGCTCATAAAGTGATCTTACTTTCTCACTCGATTAAATGGTCGGGCAATTATTACAAGGAGATAATTAATTGAGAAAAGAATAAGCACCTGATTTTGCTAGAGGAATGTCTTATTTGATGTAATATCATTGGGCCGTGATCGTAAAAGTGGTCTCAAGAAAAATCATTGCCAGCAGTGCTTGAGAATATTCTCCTTAGCAACATCATATAGTAATAACTATTACATTCTTGACACTAATAGTGGTAATGTTAAATAAAATATTTCTAGGATAACCGTGAACATAACATGATGTGATCTTCTATCCAAGATAAAAGAATGACTCCCCTAGTTTTTCCAATTTGGTCTCAATATAACTCCATTATTGTTACGACTGCTTCTTACTCCAAAAGTTTTTTTTCATCATCATTTTTAATAGTATACTCATCGTCATTATCTCTTATCATATCTAATTGTTCCGAGGCAGGAAGAGTTGGTTGATGACTCAATTGTTTTGGGATTTTTCCGAGATTTTCCTCGGGGATTTTTTGAGGATTTTGTTTAGCTTCGCGAGCTTTCTGAGCCAGAGGGGTGCTCCCCTTATGTCGTGTTCGCATAAGAATTTACGACATATTTTAAAGGGATTACCACAGAAACCACAGAAGGTTGATATTGTAGATTATCCCAATTCGAAAAACGCATTAACACTAACCCACAGCGACTTCATGCTTCCAGAACTTATCCACAACAGTTTACATGTATCTGCGACATTCTCGTGGAGAATGGCACACAAAATTTTTTGTGTTAGAAAGATTGTCACATTTTCTCACAAGCTTTATCGCTACGCCCACGAAAATTTTGGTACAGGAACTCCATTTGAAATTTATGATCCTTTTAAACAATCAAAATATTACATGTCCATAGAAATGTCTCAGTTGAAATTTGACTGGATTAAGGTCGTTCCCAGAGTCTCTCTTCTTCTCCTTCCCCGTCTCTCTCTTTCTTTTTCCCGCTACCGGACGCGGCGAGAAGAGAGAGCCTGGAATATAGGTATGACTTGATGTCCGTCCAACGAAGTTGCCTTTGTTATGTCTATTCATCTTTGAGAATCAACAAGAAACAATTTGTTGACCAGTTGTCACCAGCCTTTTGTCTACCAAATAACATTATCGTAAAAGACCATACAACCGACGTACGCTGCAGCTTCATTAACAAACCAAGACGAAACAGTTAGTGAAGTGACACAAATTAAGGCGTAGTTGATTAAGTACCCGGCAATGACGACAACTAGGGGTGTTAAATTCAATAAAAGTGACCACGAGGTGATAGCATTGGGCTCGTAAAACGAGACTTTTTTTCCAATGCATGTGCAGTTGCGTCCAAAGCCATCGCTTCAGGTGCAAAGTTAATACCGAGGATTCTAACTGGCCGGGTTTACCCCTGATGTAGAATAAGAATACGACGAAATTAAGTACGTGAGATCACAAAACTTAATCGTTGTATTTAGAAGGACGTTGTTCTGAAAAGGTTGTCGGGTTAACCACAACACCATGCAAGAAAACCTGGCCTGTAGAAATATGCATTTTCAATCCCTTTGTAACGGAGCTATGATATAAATATTGCATGAACCTGTTCTTTTCACGGGCAAAACGAGAACAAAAAAGGACATATACCCCATTCACACCAACAAAATATGTCAAGCTAAACCGAGTTCACCTGAATGAAAATCAAAAACAAAGGACTGAAAAACTGAGTTTTCCATAGGTTTCAAGTAGTCATTACGGATAACTTTTATTTTTTAATCCGACAAACATCTGTAAACTATTTTGCACCGTGTCTAACAAAACAGCTTTCAAACATGTCTGAGCTTTGATGTGAATGGGATAATAGAAAAAAACCCTAGCTTTTTTTTTATTAACTTAGAGATGCCTCTTGCTGACTTGTCCTATAGATAAATAATCAGTTCTTTTCTTATACTACAGTTGATTTTTTTTTTTCTGCTGTTTTGAACTTTTGCTTGC